TGAATGCAGCAAGCTAGCTTATCCTCCTGGGACGCAGCTCACAACCATGGCGACATTCAAGTCCCAGGCCAGACCAGGGCAGCAGCTCCGCCCACGAGCTTGCTCGGGCTACGAGTCCAGCACCAAGTGCGAAAAGTCCTCAGGCAAGGAAGTCGCACAGGACAGCAGCGACGCGTCCATCTCCAAGGGCTCGGGCCCGACGGCTCGCTGGAGGGCTCGAGCAGCCCGACGTCAAGCTTCCCGTCCAAGTCGAAGACGTCGTCGGACGCGGACCGGTCGGAGCAGCACGGCTCGCAGGAGCAGCCGCCGGGGGCGTCCATGAGGGATCTGCAGGAGGCGCTGGGGCAGAAGGGGGGGGGAGGGGGCAGCAGCGAGGACAGGAAGTCGAGCGACAGCGAGGAGCCCAAGGACCCTTTCTCCGACTCGGGGTCGAGCGCGAGCTGTCCGTCGGCGTCCTCGGCGGGGGAGAAGAGCAGAGCGCTGGAGCAGCAGGAGGATGAAGATGAGGGGAGGGATGCGATGTCAGATGAGACAGAAGACACGTGGCCTGGGGAGAGGAAGCACGGACGCGAGAGCACGTCCAAGACGTCCAGCGGGGGGGAAGTCAGGGCGGTGATTGACCGCCGAACAGCAGGGGAGATAGCATCGCTGCTGCACCAGATGATGGAGCAGCAGGAGCAGATCATGGCGCAGCAGCGGCAGATCCTAGAGAGGGGTATCCAGCCCGGAGTGGAAGGAATGATTGGAGCGGTGCTCATGACTTTTTGCGAGCTGATTGCCAAGATGGAGGCATGGGGCGAAGGGCTGGAGTTGGTGGAGGAAGCAGAAGCAGAAGCAGGCTGATTGCCAAGATGGAGGCATGGGGCGAAGGGCTGGAGTTGGTGGAGGAAGCAGAAGCAGAAGCCAAAGCTCACGGAAAGGGACGTGACCGCAGGGCGATGGCAGCAATGGTGTCGCGATGAAGTGAGCTTGAAGCCAGTGAAGTAGTTTGCGATGAAACGTGAGCAATCAGCCTCGCGGCATGATTGAATAGGTTGAAGAGCCTGAAGCACGTGCTGTACATTTCATTCATCTCACAGACAGGCCCTAGTGTTTCGGTTGAGAGCTGTTGATCATACCCGCAAGCATCGACGAGATTTGAGCATGCAAGCGTTGCAGCAGCAGGTACTCCTGGTTGCTTCCTCCTGTGACGTTGCCCTGCTGCCAAAACAACGGAGGACTTACCACCACCCCTCCTGTCGCCTGCCACCCCTGATGCCCTGCCTGCCCTCCGACCTCCGTACCCTGCCACTGGGCAGTGGGAGCACTGCTGCTCCCCTGCCCCCCTCCTCCATACCTCTGTACACAAGCCTGCGCCCCTCCAAAAGATGCCTCAACACCCCCTCCCTGCCCCGGCGACCTCGACTGGTATCCCCCAAGCCCTCGGACATCCACCCCCTGAAGCCACTGCAACCCCTGCCTCCAAGCCTCTCTCTCGGACTTGAGCTGACCAGCTGCGCTCAAGCCTGCCCAGCTCGCTCC